ACGGTCACTGACCATACACTTGGAGGTCAACTGCCTGCAGGTTATGTGTGTCAAGGTTGTCAGCCATCTAAGGCAATCAGGCCCTATTGTCTGTCCCACCCTAAGTAGGGCCCACCCCTTCTGATAAGGATGATGGACTGTTCACCTGAAGGAGAGCTCAAAGACACCTTAAGGTCAAGCCAACTCAGGGACAACCAAGGGTACGCTGCCATCTTGGGTCTAGAGCCCACCCATCTTGTTACTATGTTCCACCCCTTCTGTGGTAGATGGGTTTTGGCCTGCCAATCAGGTCGCAGCTTGACCTCATTTGGAGGAAGGAAGGAGATAAACAGCTCGCTGGAGGTGGGACACACACTCACTCCCTGGCAGACATTGCAGCTGAAAGACACGTGGAGTTATGCTAGTGCCCTGAGCTGGAGAAGCCACGTAGAGACCCTTCCCAGCACTGAGATGCTTATAATGCTGCTGGATCCACAAGACTTTCCGCCCACTGGCCTGCGATCTTCCTGCATTTGGCATCATTGCATGTGCTTCGTGAGTCTGAAGAGGACTTTGCAGATTGGTATTGGACATATGGGCTAATACCGGGCTTATGGACTTGATCTGGACTGGGCTGTTTTCTCAATATTCAAATGCTCTCGTACCTAAAGCTCTGTCTTATACACACACAAATGTCGTTTCTCTAGTCCACCCGGACTAACACATTGCCCTTCCTATTGCGTGTATACCCCTAGCTCATCCCCTTCCTGTTACACATGCAGTTACACATGCACGCCCCTGGAGTGTATATAAACCTTGGTTGGAAATATATTCTCTCTGGACCTGGCTCTTGAAGTCATGGTGGTCCCAGAGGTGAGCACTTGCATGCTTTATCTTGTCTGATGTCTCTTTAATTGACCCCTCAATTACACAACCGCCCCTTGGACCCATTTGGTGGTGGTGGGGAGGCTGGTGCCCTCCAACGACAATTCTAATATTCTTCTCCAGCACCACAATCCAAACGCACCAATCCTGCTTTGGTCCTTCTTCAATGTCCAACTTTGCTGTGCACAGGAGGAGACTGGAAAGACCATGGTGGTCTTCATCCTCCAGGTGCTTCATGGTCTCGTGTCCATCAGCCCCAGAGAGGAGAAAGGGCCCTGTCTCACTGCGGTTACCTTTGCTCCAGAGATGGCGGAAATGGGCGTCCAAAGGCTGATTGAGAATCAACAGACAGTGCTTCAGATTCCCTGCAGAAACAGGAAAAGCAAACACATCACTTGAACTGTTCACTAATTTCATCAACTCCTGGCACAGAATTCCATTCTGCCAGCCCAGCTGCAGCCACGGCTGGACCCAAACTGGGAAAGATGCATGGATTCAGTGACACCACCGCCACCCGCTGCACTGTCCCCCCACCACAGGCATGAGCACAGCTGTGTCCAAGTGTCTGGGACCACTGGGGCAGAGCAGGGGCTGGTTTCTCTGACATGGGGGGTCTGCAGCAATGTCCTGCCATCTTCATGGGGAGCTCTGCCCCCACTCTCTTCACCTGGCCTGGGACAAAGCATCCTTACAGGACTGACCAGGTGTCCATGGGGCTTTGAGAGAGTTCTGCCTACATCCATACCCTCAACCTCTCTTCCTCGCTTCCCTGCTCCCACCCCCATCCCTTCGAGAACCTTCCAGTGCTGGACTTGGTATGTGGCCACACAAAATCCTGCCCACTGATAGCGTAGGTTTTCGCAGGACATGCAGAAAGACAAAGCAGGGTGAAAAGGTGTGTGTGGGGGGGTGGAGACCCTGTGGGACAAGAAGGTGCTGCCCCCATGGGCTTCCCAGCCTGTGACTCTTTACGGGAGCAGAAAGAGCCATCTTTGTCCTAGAGGGTGCCCGGAGCTGGGTATCCCTATGATAGGGGCTGCTGGCTGGGGTCCGGGACACAGGACCTCAGGTTACAAGGAAGGGAATGTGAACCAAGGACGAACTTCAGCTGATGGTCACGGAGGAGCACTGGCTGAGGCCGCTGGGTGTCAAGTCCATTCCAACTCACGGGGACCTCGTGTGCCAAGGTGGCACTGCCCCCTCACCTACGCCGTCACCTTGGTGGAAACAGGCCACCAGCTCTTTCCCCCACGGAGCCACGGGGCCACCAACCCAACGATGAGCAGTCAGCTGACCGCTGCACCACTGGGGTGGGGGAGGGATGTGGTCTCCTGTCCTATCTTCTCAATTGTCCTGTAAACCTAAAACTCACTGGAAAAATTACACCCATTAGCCTTTTAAAGCTCTGAGGCCATGCAAGACCACAGAACTGAAGATCAAATCATGAAGGGTCCACCCGGCTGTCCCTGTGGATGGTCCTGTGGACCCAGTGAAGGAAGCCCAAGAGCCTGTTCTGGGTGCAGGCAGGAGGTCAGAAGACAAGGATAGCGCTAGTCCATCGCTGGAGAAATGTACAGGACAGGGGACTGTAACTCTACCAGCGTAGAAAGCCCCGTCTTTCTCCCGAGAACCAGCCGGTGGTTTGAACTGCTTACCTTGTAGTCAAAGTAGCCTAACATGTAATCACTCCACCACCCAGCCTCCCTTGCATGCATGTATGTAATGAGGGGGCTTCGAGAAGTTCACGGAAAAACTGCACGATCTTTCAATGGTGTGTTCCCACAAACCTCTCGAACATCCCTCATGTAAAGTCACACGATCGTGTGCACTTTTCTGCACATAAACCCCATGTAGCTTGTTTAAATTCTCCTTTCATTTTAAATTGATCAGTGGTCTGAGACCAGAAAAAGGTTTCTAAAGGAAAACACTTCTTAAAACACACAATCTACAGAGGGGGAGAGGAGGGCCCTGAAGTCCATTGCTGATCAAATGCTCGGGCTCTCTTAAAAACAGCAAGACTGGGAGTGGAACCCAAATAAAAGCACACCTGCTGCTGTCAGAGAACCAGGGACGATTGCTGTGGCCCCTGGCCCCTGGCCCCTGGCGGGGGCTGCCCTGCAGTGCCATTTCCACGTGGCACTGAAGTGTAAGTCTAAGAGCAGGACCTTTCCCCTCTCTTTCTTTCGGCGCCCACAGGGACATCAGAGCTCCTGGAGGGAGAACACTGCCTGTGGACGCTCGGCTGAAGCATGAAAAGGCTCAGAAGCAACCATCCCACACCTCAGCCGCTAAATGGTGGTGGACAGAGAGCCAGGTGGGAATTGCTCTGGGCAGGCAAACATGGGGTGTGGGTGCATGTTAAAGACCAGGCTCTTTCTCTGGAAGGCACTGGGGCTGGCATGACCCTGTGTGGTGACCCCTAAGAAGGGGAGCCCGCCCAGGGGTGTCGGGTCAAACAGCCTCAACTCCAGGGAGGCTGTGAGGTCACCTGTCACCTGCTACTGGCCAGTCCACCAATAGCCCCTCCCACATGCCACCTGATCCACTGCCGGTTTCCTGAGTCCCCCTGGCCTGGACCACGAGGGAACTGCTCGCCATGGGTGGCATTGTCCTTCCGCCCTGAACCTGAGCCCCTTGCTCACTGGGGATAACTTAGTCCTGTTCGGGAGACCAGATCCACGCACCCAGAAACACTACCGTGCTGCCATTGTGTTGGTGCCTACACGACAGGCTGGACCTGCCCTGTGGGTTTCTGGAGCGGTAACTCTCCATGGTAGTAGAGAGTAGAGAGCCCTGTCTTTCTCCCTCTGATGGTATTTGGGGATTTCGAACTGCTGACCTTGTGGATGGTGGCCCCACCACGTAGGGGCTTGTAAGCTGGCCCGGATTAGAAGTCAGGACGAGCAGAGGGGCAGGGAGGTGAAGCTGAGACAAGGACCTTGAATGGAGCACACAGCCTTCTCTTGGGGGTCGGGCCCTGGGTTTGGACTTCCAGGCTCTGAAACCGTGAGGGAGCCCAGTCTGTTCATTAAGCACACTCGCTAGGGTAGTGGTTAGATTTCTGTCAGGGGGAGGAGCGTCCAAAAGGCCGTGGAAAAATGGACTTGAAAGATAACGGAATCTCCCCACAGCCTTTCTAAGCCCCCATCTTCTGAATTCTCCTGGGCCCCCTTCTCTCATGTCTGTGGAAGGCAGAGCATCCAGCCCCGGGGTCAGTCCTTCCATCCGCTCTCTCCTCACACTCCCCATGGCTTCCCCATCACAGGACTTGCAGCATCACCTGTATCAATGGCCCCTGGGTTCCCAGGCCTCCCCCAAACTCCAGATTGAGTCTAGGTGCCTCTGTAGCCAGCTCCCCTTGGACACCAGCCCGACACTTCAAACTTCCCATGTCTAGCATCATCCGACACCCCTCGGCAGGCAAGCTTGCTCCCTCAGCCCGCTCACCCAGTACCGCCCACCAGGAATGCCCAGTCCCCACCAACTCTACAGCTCAAGGCTTCCCGTTCGTGCCTCCTGCCCGGTGACTGACAGACCCCACAGAAACGTCACGCGATGCAGGCATTTCTGCTGGAAACCAGCCACACCTGTGAGCAAGGACTGCTGGGGCCACCAGGCCCAAAGGGCTCTGCTGCTGGCCCCTGCCCCCTCCCACCCCCCAGAGAGCCCTTGCTCTTCCCAGCCACCGCCCCAGGGCTCCTGGGTGTTCCCGAAACCTGCCAAGCAGAGCATATTCCCCTGGGGACATAACTGAGCTGATGGCTCACTCTCTCTCACAGAGGTTCTGCACCAGTCCCTGGGGGAGGAGCAGCAGGGGCAAAGGCCAGTGGCTCAAGGACAGGCTGTGTGGGGGCAAAAATGGAGGGCCCAGGGCAGGGGGACAGGGACTGTCTCATCTTCCCTCGCTCATCACTCCCCACCTTCCACTATGAGTTTAACAGACACTGGTCTCTTTTGAAATCCATTAAATTGAGCTGCAGGGGGCTCCCACTCCAAGGACTAATGGAGTCTGCTTTGTCTGGTGGGGTGGGGAGGGGGTCGTGCACTGAGTAGGAGCCCAGTTACAAAGACCACATCTCTGATGTGAGCAGAGGCGGGAAGTCATGTCCCTGAGAGGTCTTCAAGGTGCTCAGGGAGAGACCTCAGAGGGCTAACTGTGTGTGTGTGTAGGGGAGGGGGAGACCAGGGGGGCAGTCCCCCCCCCCCAACTCTCTCCAGGTTCCCGGAGATGGTTTATCCCTTTCTTCAAACAAGCTTTACAAGTCTGGCATCAGGCCGATGGGGGAAGAGTGCCACAGGGCCTGCGAGAGCAGCCTTGCTCTGCAGGGGCTTGGACAGGACACCCTGTGGGCTGCCAGGCAGCCCAGAGCAGGTGACAAGCAAGGGCACCATGGTGTGGGTCACTGATGCCCCCTCATCAGGGCAGTCACAGGTAGCTCACCACTACCCTGGGGTCGGATATGGAAGCAGGACAGCCTGATAGCCCCCACCCAAACGACGTGATCCTCTCAGACTCCAGCCCTGGGCCCCGTCAAGGGTCACCCTCCAAAGGCCACCCAGGGTGGGGGCTCTCGGTCAGGAATCCTTTGTCTACACCCAGCCCTTGAAGACCTTAATTCCAGTTCAGGTCACTGGCCTCCCAAAGAGAAGCTGGGACTGCTTGTCCCGCCACCCTGTGACAGCTGAGAGCATTAAATGTCAGACCAGGATGGCCTGCGAAAGGCGATATAAATAAATACCCACACAGCCATCGGCACAGAAGGGGCTTTAGCCCCTGCTCCTGGGGCATCTGCAGGGACCCTCCAGCATCCTGCACACAGCTCCTTGGCCCCTGACCACCAGGCTCCTCTACCTGGCTCTGGGCCTCCCTGCTGGTCTGCAGCTCAGGAGGGACTGGCTTGAAGCCAGCCCAGGCTGAGAAGGTCTTGTGAGTGTAACACAGCCGCCCTGTTCTCAAAGGGGTCCTGTGTGCAGGCCTGGGGCTGGGAGTCCACCCCCAGCTGCCTCCACAGTGAGGGGTGGACATGCCCTGTGGCGGTGGTGGACAGTGAGCAAGGAGGGTCATTGCAGCAGCATGCAAAGGGTTAGCAAGGAGCAGAGAAGCACCGGTAGTATGTGGTTTGTCCTAGGGGGAAGGCCACCTGGCTCCTGGGCCCACAGTTCCCTCAGGCCCTGGTCCTGCTGTGGGTTGCATTTGGACATGGCTATATTAGTCCTGTCCAGTCCTCTGGGTGACATGAGGGTCTGACTGGCTCCCTCAGAGGGGACACATGGATCACCCCCAGCCCCCCTCACCCCAAGTCTCAATGCCACTGGGCCCCAGTTGACCGGCAGCCAAGTTCTGAGCTCTGCAGGTGAACACTTTGGATAGAGCCAGGGAAGAAGTGGGGTTCTGACCCCCAGTGACCCCCTGATACACACACACACCCAGTCCCCCCATCCCCTACTCAGCCCTCAGAAGAGGAATGGCAAGGGCCAGCAATCACAGCAGGCTGTCATCTGGGTGGCACTTCAGGGGGATGATTGCAGCTCTCAGCTCCCAGGTGCTGTCAGTCCCAGAGGCAAGGAAGGGCAATTAACTTCCATGACAGGGGGGGTAGGGGTGACACACAGCCACTCCTGACACGGATGATGCCCATGTCCTGAGCGCTGAGGAAGGCCGGAGCCCGAGGACCACATAGCTCCCCTCCCCCCCACACACATACAGAGGGCAGGTGGGTGGGACTTGGCTGGTTTATGGAATTCCTAAGAACTAAGGTGCACACACATTGACTTTTTCCTATTTGGCCAAAAATGACAGCGTGTGAGGTCCTGACTTATCTGGGTCACAAAAGGGACAGATGGAGGACCCCACCTCCCTTCCCCAGCCCCAGGCTCTGGGTGACCCCACCCCTGAGATCCTTGGGGTCCACATGTCCACATTCAGGGAGGGAGGTGATGGCCGGCAGTGCTGATCTAGGAAAGTTGGAATACATCAAAAATGAAATGAAATGCACAAAGCTGGGTAACTTGGGCCTTAGTGAGGGAGCTGAGACAGATGGGTACTGGCTACGTTGAATCAAGCAACCAGGGTCGGCAGATCCAAGAGGAATGGCGTCTCATCCATCGTCAAAGACAGTTCAAGCTATCTCGACCCACGCAAGGAAATCCAGTGAATGCAACTAGCACTCCCATTCACACATCAGCCACTGAGCTCCCGAGGAAGCCGCTGACCAAGTCCCCCGCTTCTTTGGTCTCAAAATGATCAAACATGCAGGCAAAACACATGGATGACAGTTGGCGATTGGAATGCGAAAGCTGGGAGCAAAGAGGAAGGAGTGGTGGTTGAAAAATCTAGCCTTGGTGAGAGAAATGGCGCTGGAGATGGTCGCAGGACAGACTTTTGCAAAACCAATGGCTGCTTCATAGGAAACACCTTTGTTCTACAACACAAGAGGTGACCACACAGGTGGACATGGCCAGAAGGGACTCTCAGAAATCAAACTGACTACACCTGTGGGAAGAGACGGCGGAGAAGCTCAGTATCAGCGGCTACAACCAGGCCTGGGGCTGAGTGTGCAAAAGACCGTCAAAGACGTCTATGCAAGTTTAGGGTGTAGATGAAGAAATTTAAATCAAGTCCACGAGAGCCAACATG